GCTGTGAGAGGATTCACCAGAGACAGAGCGGGGAGCAGAAAAGGCAGATCAGCGAAGCACACTGCTGCAGGGAGCAGCGGACATGTCAAGAGAGGTCTGCTGTGCCATGTGGGTCACCTCCGGGGTGGGGATTGAGCTCATGCTGAAATGAGCTCATGCTGAAATGGCTTTAGCTCCTTAGTGCTGTGCTTTAACCTGCTGCGTCATCAGGGAGGGCCACAATTTTTTTTTTTTTAAAACCTTACAAAATAAAAATTAGCAAAAGACTAAGGACAGAAATATAAGGTGGAGTAAAGGAAGCCAAATCTAATTACTTTCTTGTTAGCAAAAGGTAGCTGTAAGCTGTTTGTAACTGCCCACAGATCCTCAATTTTTACTTCGCATTGATGCTTTCCAAGAGCCACCTGCAAAGCCTCAGCTGGGTGGGTGGCTTTTCCTTGAAATCTGCACAGGCTCAGTGTGAGGGCAGCAAACTGGAACTGCCTGAGAGTGAATGCTCCCCCCCTCCCCCGGCAGTGATGGATGAGCGGTTGACATTTAAATACCCAACTCCCAGTCCTTCCTGGAACTAATTCTGAGGAATGTTCTCTACACTTTCTCTTACAGTTCCCCGGTGGAGTCAGACTACTCCTTTGCCCACAGTTGACAACTTTCTTAATAACATTCTCTTTATTAGTTCTTTTCTGTCTCACTTTCCCACTCCCTTAGCACGTTTACTAAAATCTTTCCTAACTAACTAATCACACTCAAATCCTGCCTCAGTAACTGCTTCTGAGGAAAGACAAGCTAAGATGGGAAACCAAGGAACAATTATATACAGGAAGAACACTAGAAGTCATATAAATTTTTTTTAATTGAAATACTTGAATGCCAATAAGGTTTACATTGCTTACTAGATAGTTCTATGCCCCCGATTCCTGAGCCCAATACAATTAATCAATACTGCCTAGAAAATATAATGAACTATTTAACTATTAACTGTTAAGTATAATAAACTATTTTAACTATTTTAAGGTAAAATCTATCCCACTGGTCAAAATCAGACTGTAATCTAATTTCATATTTTCTCTTGTCTCCAACATACTTACTCTCATAGAAAGCCCAATTAAATCACTCTTAACGGACAATCCCATAAATACGAGCGGGTCATTTTCTCACTCTTCTGCTTTCTCTTTGTGACCTGAACACTGACTCAGCTAAGTCAGGCTTCCCGTTTTGCCTTCACTGTGACTTGAGGGAGCATCCCTCAGCACCCTTCCTATCATGCCTGTCCAGTGTTCCATCTTTTTTCCAGTCACCTTCCCCATAAGTCTGCCAAATCCTGAGATTCTACCAGATTACTCCCTTCAGGGCACTAGAATTAAATGTGCTGTCACTCTGTTTCTTTAGTTCCAATTACTTTGTCACTGGATGAGTTTTACAGTCTTTAAATTTACATCATATTTACATTTTTGACTTTCAGATAAACATGCCCTATAAGTCTTTCAGGCCATATATTCAAATTTAGTTTATGAAAATTTTGTAATGTATTGTGTAGTTAGAAGTACAATTAGCAATTCGATTTTGTTAGGTTTTGTGTGTTTATGTGGACTTTTAACAAAGATTTATTTATTTATGCATACAGAACTGGGGTACAGGCCAGAGGGGCAGGGGTGATGAGAAGCTTCACTAGAGACAGAGTGGGGAGCAGAACAAGCAGATCAACAAAGTATACTGCTCAGGGGAGCAGTGGGTGAGACAGGAGAGGTCTGCCACGCCATGCGGATAACCTCTACGGCCAGGGATTGAACCTGTACTGGAATGGCTGTGCCTATACGCATTCAGTGCTATGTCCTAACACTTGCAAAATATGGAAGACATTGAGACAAGAAAATACTTCTCTTAAGATCATGGCAGGTAGATGTAAAGAAAAAGTTCAGAAGCCATACTGGGGAGTCCTAAGGTCGTGTTCTGTACTCTAATTTTCTATTGCAGATCCATGGATGTTAAGTATTTTCAAGGTCAGAAAGAGAAATAGAAAGTAGGCAAGACTCCATGAAAGGAATTCTATACAGTGAATCTAAAAGTACTAGACTTAACACTTTCCACTTGTCCCAATGACAAGTACAGCATGCATGTCTGGCTAACTCAGGAAAAGAAAAGTTCAACCAGAAAGGAACCTGGCTGGCCTGGAAGAGTCAGTCAGAAAGGAACAAGGAATCACACATGGTAATGAAGTGTCAACAGATATTTCACACATTCACTCATCAAATATTAACTGAGCAACTACTATGAAATGATGTTATTCTAGTGGCAATTTCAGAGTGATGAATAAGTTACAGTCCATTAGATGATGCTGTTTTATGGGGAATATAAAGCAAGGATGGGATATGGGAAATGCTGGATTTGGGATGGAATGGTAGCAGTGTTCAAGAATGGTCTCAATGAGAAAGGGAAGATTGAAAAAAGGCAACATGTAGAGCGATACAGAACAGAAGACTATCACTTACAACAGTTTTGATGGATCATGACTTGGTTGCTGTATAAATAAGGTAGGATGATATAATGAATATATTAAAAATGTGAAAAATAAATAATAAGGCACTCCCTGACTGGTTGGGCGAGATGAGATGAGAGAGATGGAGGTTATTCAAGAACTTTGCACATTATTCTGTTAGAGCAGACATTAGAGAGATCAATATACAAAACTAACAGGTAGCTATTTAAACTATATAACAATTATTTTGGCTCTTGTTTTAAGAAAAAATATGTAGAGACGCAAGGTAAGCAAAGTGAAAAAATTCAGGGTTATTGCAGTAATTTGGAATGAGAAAACAATGAATTTGGAAGTTAGTCACAGAATCTCATTAGACTTGGATGAACAGTCCCCAGGATTACTGACATGTTGGGTGTGGAATGTGAAAGATCGCTGCTTCCCTGTTGAGAGAGAAACTGAAGGGAGCATCAGTGTTTTGAGCAATGGAAGACTAGGTATGGGTAGAGCAGATGTGAGTAAGTGTGCAGGAGTGTAGGGTAAGGTGTTGCCATCCCTCCAGAACTGTGCAAGCCCCTATACCCAGGCTCATAAGGAATGAGAATATTTCTTTTGCTCCTTCCAAACTATGGTAATGGTTTCTATGTTAATTTAAGGAATAAGTTGAAAGTCATTGAAGTGGAGTGGGAAAAATGTTTAGTATTAAAAAAAAAAAACTATATCTCCCTTCTCAAAAAGAGAAATCACCATAAAAAGATTTTTGTGGCCCTCCCTGGTGGTGTAGCGGGTTAAAGCACAGCCCTGAGAAACTAAAGCCACTTCCGCATGAGTTCGATTCCCGCCTGCCCCGGAGGTGACCACATGGCGTGGCAGACCTCTCCTGGCCCGCCCGCTGCTCCCCTCAGCAGTGTACTTCGTCGATCTGCCTGTTCTGCTTCCCACTCTGTCTCTGGTGAATCCTCTCACTGCCCCTGAGCCTCTGGCCTGTACCCCAGTTCTGTATGAACAAATAAATAAATTTTAAAAAAAAAAAGATTCTTGCTGGGTATTTCTGAATACACCAATTCTCGCTAAATTTCCTGCTGAGCTTAGCATCATAAATCCAATGGGCATGGCACCTTTTCAGTCTTTACCTTAATTGACTTCTCAGGTACATTTGAGAAGTTTAGCTGCTATATTTCTGAAACACTCTTCTTATCTCTGTGACCTTGCGTTCTCCCATGTCTTCACCATTTCATTTTCGTAATATCACCTGCTTACAAGGTCCTCATTGGGTTATTAAATGTAGGTATTTCTTCAGTAATAGTCCTATTTTCTTTTAAAAAAAGACCTTTTAGTTTTTGTTTATCCCAATAGCTTCTTCCATGATTATAGCTTGATTATAGTTGAAGTTAAACCTGAAGGCCTATGTTTTCTCATTGGAGACCAAACTGGGATTTCAGTCTATTGGAATGGATACCTTTTGGCTAATTCTTTGCATGCCGTTATTAGTTTTTTCTTTAAATTCCTGGAGTTCCTTACACAGGTAAATGGTGTGTAAAATGTTAATTCTCTCCAAAATGTTGTATCAGTTTATACTTTCATCAGTGACTTATTATATGCAGTGAATTTTTGTCTGTATGCTCCCCAATCCAGAATGTTAATCATTTATACTATTAAAAATTTTGAGCAATTAAATATATTTTATTTTCATCTCTATTCTCAAACAACTTGCATTTTATTCTTACTACTATATTCTCTGATCTTTTTTCTATAGAATACTTACATTTATGATTTTAAAAGATCAATATGTTGAATAGATTTGAAACTATTTTGGTTGAGTAACTCCTTGTTTTGACTTAGGAAATGAAAAAAAAAAAAACCTCTATCTAGATGTACTCTGTAAATTTAGCCTCAGTTATGACCAGTATATTGCTAGTTTAGCTTAACAAGAGAGAAAACTCAGGTAAAACTTAAGAGAAAGAGAACTACTTCTATGATTGATTGGAACCCTGAGGAAAAATTATGTTTTGTTGTTAGCTAAATGTTCTTTTTTTTTTTTTCAATTCTGTAAAATAATATATTTTTAATGATGTGGCTTACTTGTTCTAATTTTTCATAATTTAAAAATTCTGTTGAATGTAATCAATTGTTTCATTATAGAAACAGTTAGACTTTTACTTAGATTCCTATTATCCAAATTATGCAGGAAATGTTATGTAGATTAATTCTTAACTATTTATAAAAATAATAATGTGATTCTGATTGTCTTTATGAAATTGCTTAGTCTTAATTAAAACCTCTTCCAGGAAAGAAATTGTTTAGGACTATCAGCAATTTCTTCACATGTGAAAGGACAGAAACTTGTTATATATTTATAAATTAGAAAATAGTGCTCGGGAGTAAATAACTTTGTTCTTTACATTTCTAGATAATATGATGACTGCTGCAGTTCGTAATTAGATTTTGAAGGAACACATGATGAATTCTCTAAAATACTGAAAATACCAGAAAATAATAACCATTTTATTTTACTGAATGTCACACTCATAACCACTTTGCTCCTATCCTTAAAGATAGCGGAGTTATCACAGTTCAGATATTGCCCTTTCCATTGTGAACTACGTTACTATTTTCTTTGATTTGCAGAAACATGAGTTTTTCCTCCCCAATTTTATTCTTTTCACAGTGGTAACATAGACATCAGGCAGTAGAACAATGGTACTCAGCTTTTGCGGTGGAATTTGAGTCTTGAGCAGTACTTAAATAATACATTTCTTATAATATTAGGTGGTGAGGTTTGTGTTCATATCTTTGTTTCTCATCCTCTACTTCTTGTGCTTTGTGAATCATCATTTGGCCACCAAACTTCACCCAATGTCCAGGGCCTAAATCAAATGAGATAATATGATTTTATTATTTTAATTAATAATTTTGAATGGATTTGTATATAAACACAGTGATATTGGTTTATTTCATTGTTAGTATTTTGGGGTCTAATAGAGTTTTCTTTAAATTAGGCTTTATGCAGCGTTCTTTTAAATCTTATGAGGAAAAAAAAAGTACCTTTGTTCTGTCTTTATATCTTCCTATTATAGATTACTGATATTCTATTCATTAAATTCAAATTACTTTATAGTGCCACTTTATTTTATCTTCTTGGTGTGAACATTTAAATTAATAACTAAACTTCATAAAAAGTCTGAGGTCCAAACAGCTTTATAGGTGATATATATCAAACACTAAGGAAAAAGTAACACCAATTCATGGCAAAATTTCCAAAAGTCAGACAAGGAGAAAAACCACACTTCATTTTATAAGATATGAATTTGACTGATGCTAATGACAAGTAAAGGAAGCTTTCCATCATTTTCACTCAGTAATATAAATGTTAAGGTCATTAGCTAATTTAACACATAAAACTAACAGCAAATATGAGAGATGGCATATAATGATCAAGTAGAGTTTATCCCAGGAAAACAAGTTTGATTTAACCTTTGAAAATCCATCAAATCAGGGCACTCAAATAATAAAGAACCAAAATCCATAAGATGATTCAAGCAGAAAATAATCATCAAATCCTGAGATAAAGGAAATTCTCATCATTATCTTTGACATATTCTTGACCAATTTCAGAATTTTCTACCTGTAATGTAAAAATATCAGAAAAGATCAAGCTACACATGCTTGAACCCAAGCAGTGTAACACTGTTGTTACATGTTTAATGTCAATGTCAGAGGAGGCAAAGCAAAGACAAGGGGTGCTTGCGTGCAGACACGAAAACTAAGAAGAGCACATGTAGTTTAATTTTTCAGATAGTTTTTCATGTAAAAGTCAAAATCACAAGTATTTTTAGATGACCGAATTCCACCAGTAAACTACTTCTAGAGTAAATTCAGCTTATAGGAGCCACGTAAGAATGTTGTACAGTCCGTTGTACTTCCAAAGACAGTGAGTGATGCCATGCTGGTTTAAGAAGCACTCGGCAGGTGCTGCGCTGGTTAGACACTTTCTCAGCCCGATCTTGGATCTTAACTGTCACTGGGCACCACCAGGCACCAAAACAAAGCATGTGTAAGTCAGAGTTAGTTAATGTTTGATGAATAGCTCTTCACCACTCCACTTGGCAAATGACCTAAATGACCAATTCTAATGACATCTTGAGGCAAAGAGTAAACGGTCCTCTTCCTGGTAAGAGCGTTATGTTAGCATTCTCTTCTTCCACATTGCCAGCTTGTACTTCCTCATAAAATGCTTAGTTAAGCCTTACCTTTCTTGTATGGTGATATACACAAGTGCAAAGACAAAGGAATACTCAACAAAGGCTTGGTATAAAAACCCTACACTTTGAGAAAATGCTTTGTTTATTTCTATGTATTGAAGCAATATTTTTTTTAAAGATTCATTTGTGCATACAGAACTGGAGTACAGGCGAGAGGTGCAAGGACAGTGAGAGGATTCACCAGAATTCTGTCTGGGGAGCAGAACAGGCAGACTTGACTAAGTACACTGCTGAGGGGAGCAGTGGGCAGGTGCAGGGACAGTGAGAGGATTCACTAGAATTCTGTTCTGGGGATCAGAACAGGGAGCAGTGGGCAGATCAGGAGAGATCTGCTGTGCCATATGCATCACCTCTGGGCTGGGGCTCGAGCTCATGCTGCAGTGGCTTTAGCTTCATAGTGCTGTGCTTTAACTCACTGTGCCACCAGGGAGGGCCAAGGCAATATTATCTTTAATAAAGTTACAATTTGGTAAACATATTTCTTATAACTTTAAAATTTTTCTCTAATGAAATGACCTGCAAAATTCTAATTTTTAAGTCTTAAGTGATTCTGTTCCCATTCAAAATGAATTCAAAGCATTAACTTGCATGCTACTTAAGAATAGAGTTGCATTAGCTGATGTTCTTAATGCATTTTTATGAATATTATTCTGTAAAATAATTTAAGACTTTAAAAATTACTATGGAAAAAGCTGACATAATTCTGAATATAAGAGAGGGCATTATAGGAAATGAACAAATTTCATTTAGTAATTGTCACTTGCTATATAGTGTTGCTACAGTGTCACAGTAATGCATCTCACAATAGAAAGCTACAAAATACAAGCAAGTGAATCTCATCAACCCCAAATACTCATAACTAAAGTGGAAAAAAGAATAAATTCTACCACATGAGTGATAAGCCTTTCTTAAAACTCATGAGATGTATTTGAAATCATATGGTGCATAATTCCCAAAAGTAAATGACTGAGAAGACAAAGCAATCAAATATAAACACAAGCTTTAGTTTCTACTACTGGTCACAATACCTTGTTTCAATACTGCTTATTACTCCCCTTTTCTCTTTCACAATTCTGAGTAATTCCTAGGCTGATTTGTAAAATGGTTGCTGTAAATGTTATATCAAATTTAACTCCAATGTTTTGAAATGATTAATGAGCTCATTGTTTGGGGAAGAAGTAATCAGAATATTAAATATGAAATTTGATGCATAAAAATATTAGGAACATTTACTTGAAAACAATGAACATGGATAAATACCATTCAAATTATAAATATAAGGAATTAAGTTTGCAATCTTACATATACAACACATGAATATAGCAATATTAAATCAATCTCTCTGTTAAGAACTACCTCCCAAAGCATTGATCTAGATGTAACTGAAATAACCTATTCAATACATACCCTTTAAGACCCCAATGGCTGACTTAAAAAATACATCTAATTACCACATATAAATGAAATGCCAAAAGGCAGCAATTTTCTTCCATAACTATTAAGTTGGTAAAAACAAATTCAGTCTTGTTATTCTTTCCATAAGGAAAGATAACTACTTTTGATATAACCATGTGCTGCTACCTTTGGATCCCTATGTTCTGGAAATCTGATTATACTTCAACGTCTACCTCTATTTACTGTGGTTTTATTAATACAATTTTCAATTTTTTTATTGGCTCCTTTATCTGTTTCCTCATTCGTGCTCATGTAGTGTTACCCTAGCTGGATGAGTTAATTATGTTAATTTTCCATAAAAGCTAAAATATACAATTTGTATATATTTTACTGATTTTGGTCATTGAGGTGAGGTGTCTGTATCATCACAAATCGTTTTCCAGTATTTCCTAATTCCTACCTCCTCCTTTTCTTCATTTACTTTCTTCTACTTTCTTTGTTGTACCATGTCATAGTCAACAATATAGATTTTGTGATAACTTATTGCCTTTGATTATAACAAACACCAAGGTAATAGCCAAATGTTTGAACCACAATCAAAGTACCCATAATCTTCCACTATAGACTGTTGAACCCACTCCCCATCCCCCTCCACATCCTCATCACCCCCTCTGGTAGCTTCAATACTATATTCAGATTTTAGGGGTTGCTTTTGTCTTCCTTGTTTTGTTGATTTATGGTCCACCTGAGTGAAATCATCTGCTCTTTTTTTTGTCCTTCTGACTAATTTCACTTCCTTTCTAGTTCTATCCATGTTGTTGAAAAATATTTCATCTTTTATATGTGAGTAGAACTCCATTGTGTAGATATACTGCATTTTCTTAATCCACTCACTTCTCGTTGTAGTCTTAGTCTGTTTCCATAACTTGACGACAGTAAGTAGTGCTACAGTTAACACAGAATTTATATATCCCTTCAAATCAGTGTTTTTGCATTCTTTGTACAGATATGCCAGAGCACGTGTATATCTGTAGTATTTTAAAGATCTCTATACTATATTCCATAGGGTCTGGGCTGGTCTACAATCTCACCAATCATGTGCAAGGGCCCCTTTTCCTTTACATATTCTACAACATATGCTGTGACTGTTCTTTTGTTTGTTTGTTTTTGTTTTTTAATATGGGCTGTTTCTATGGGACTGAGGTAGTATTTCACTGTGATTTTGATTTGCATTCTTCTGAAATTTCCTGAAATTTTTTAGCTAAAATATTGGAAAACATTTCTCTGTAATTACACCTTGAGATAGATATGGCAAAAAAGGAAATTTTGAGTAGCCTAATTCTTGTGCAATTTAGTCTGTTATGATAAAACATTGTATATTTTCACAGAGATAATCTCAGATATAAATTACTTCTCCTGTGACCTTTCCAAATCATGCACAGAAATTATCAGTGATCCACCAACGAAATCATTGTACATTCCATCATGTTACATTACACATGTAACAAAGTCATTTTCTTGAAGATCCACTTATGCCGTAGATTTCTTGGTGTTGGTGGTGTGGATATAGAACATTCAAGGTGAATGTTATGCATTAGCAGGACTTTATTGACAGACGACTTTTGTTAAGCCGTGAAGTTAGAAATGGAATGATTTTTATCAGGGTGTTCACCCTCAGCAGCTCTGCTTCCCTATTTGGAGGACATAATTTTGAGCTGAATTCACAGCTGTCTAGGTGCAGTGATATGGAGTCATAATGGTTGATGACAGTTGGAGCAGGGTGGTGACCTAGCAACTAATAGCCAGATTTTGCAGATCTCCTTTCTTGCATGTTCACAATGACTCAATCATGTATGATTTATGAATAAGTGTACATAGGAAGTAAAAACAAAGGGTATGTGATTTACTTTCAATGCCATAGTAGATTGGGTTTCTCACAGATTGCTTTTACCATTTGCGCTTTACTCTTGGTTCTGTAGGACTAAGTGGGGTTCACAGACCCCAGACCTTCCTCCATCAGTGGAGAGATTTAATGTTGCAAATCCTGTCAAGTTGATCTATTTCTGATATCATTTTCCCTTTCAGACCCTTTTTTGGCTTCTGGCCTTGGAGAGGTTTGAATGTCCTGACAGATAAATGAAGCAATTTCAGCATTTTTGAGACAAGACTTTTGATCGGTTCACAAAAAGAGATAAAATATCTTTGTAGTA